TATGTTTCTCACTATGGTCAAAATAAAAAATAAATGAATTAATAAATAAAATTAAATAAATAAAAAATTAACTCCACAAATTTCTAAAAGTAAGCAACGAATTTAGAAATTGTTGTAATGATATAAGAAATGATATATACTAAAATTTTTATTGCTAGGTAAGCAGTTTTTATTCCTTTTTTATCATTTTAAGTTTTATTCATTTAAAAAAATTAAGTTGGGGTTTCTGATTAACTCAAAAATTCAGGGCAAGTTATGTATTTACAGGCATCTTACATAATTACCCTTTTTCTCTTTGTATATTATATTAGCTTAGTGTGATAAAAACATTTACCATGACACCTACTCTCTTAAACACTCTTGAAATGTCTAATAAACCATTTAACTCTAGATACACTGTTGTACAGCAGGTCTCTAGAGATTATTAATCTTGCTTGATTGAAAAGTTTGTGTCTAATTATGCTGACCATCCATTAATGTGCTTACAGGCCAGTTTTGTATCTTCATTTGAGAAATGTCTATTTAAATTAGTTTCTTTTTAAAAACATTTTATTTTAATTTCTTTTATACAATCAACCACTATACATCACTTAGCTTGTAAAGTGAATTTTCCAACCTGAATACACTTCACACCAGTCCAGTTGGGGTTACTATACATGTTATCGTCAGCAGATAATAATCCATTTCTGTGGCCCATAAATGCCTCTCTTTTCTCCTTAATATCTTTCCTCAGACTCTTGGTAAGCAGTTTTATCACAGTTTCATTAGAGAATAGAAAGAATATAATTTAAAAAATTTTATCTGTGCAATAATTTATACTATTATACTGGTTGTCAAAGGTGTTTAATACTCTCCTTCTTCTCACATAGAATTTGCTTCTAGTAAGTATTCACTCAATGTCTGACATAAAATGGAGAGCTCCAGTCAGTGCTGAGGGGGTCTAAGAGTGCGGTCCATGTTGTTTCTGGGCTGGGACTTTAGGAACAGAGAGGGCAAGTGAATGGAGGGAGGAACAGCACAGTAGTGACGTGTGATTACATGACTTCCTGTTTCCTACTTTCCATGTCTGCACCATGCTGACATGCCATATCCAGGTGAGACAAGACTGGGAGGGTGGCATAACTCTGCTTCTTCATCTACTTTTCCAGGAAAGCAAATCACTTGTTTATCAAGTGGTCCCTCTAGCCCTGCTGTTGGGCTGCACATGTAGGGAGAGATTTCCCAAGAATCTGAGTTTCCTGCGTAGGTTGCACAGGGAGGAGGGAAAACACCTGAGGGACTGGCTCACTGAGGGGCTGGCCTGGCAGGATGACCAGGCAGGAGACAGAGCTGGCCAGGAAAGGAGGAATGGCCTCACTACCTGAGGGAAAGTATCTTTATCCCTTAGGAGAAGTCATCCCTTTGGCTCTAACAGGAGAGGAAAGTGCAGGCTGAGCAGCGCCCTCTGCTGAAGAGCAGCCACAGAGCACAGGGGCCCAGGAGTGCTTCTGAAATCCTGCTCCCACCCCAGACCCTGCGCCCACCCTGCTGTCATCTTCCTGCCCAAAGGAGGAGAAGAGGCTGGGGGGAGGGAGCCACCCAGGTTGGAAGGGAAGACAGTGTGCCCTGCGGACCTGGGCCCAGGGTGAGGGGACCTTGGGTGAAACTCTAGGAAGGAGTGAAATGCAGCCCTGCCTCTCAGCACCTCTGGGAAGGCTTTATGTCAGGGGGTAAAGCGAATCTTCCTTTCTCCTTTCCCTGGAGCTCTCTCTGCTTCCTCCCAGCCTAGACATCCCAGGCTGCAGGAGACAGAGGATCCCGGGGAAACTACGGCTTTTCCCCCACCCCTCTCCTTCCTTCATCACAGTGTGTGTCAGGATGAAGTCTCCTGGCTTTCATCTTTGGCGAGGGCAGAGGGCAGGCAGGACCTGACAGGGGCTCAGGGCTGCTCTGCACATCCTGCCTGGGGGGACAGGAGAGGAGAGAAGGGAGAGAACAGTTAGCGTTGCTCAGGGGGCTCAGGAGGGAGATAAAATGGTCCCACTCCTTTATTGCTGACTCAGCCCAGCTTTCACTTCAGTTTCCCTCCAATCTTCCAGAACGACCACAGTGCTCTGCTCACATCACGTGGAGTACACTGAGGGGCAAAGCCTGGGTGCTGACCTGGGCCAGTTAACTCAGGTGGCTCTTCATGTTCATTCCCAATGCTGTCCTGGGAGTGTCCCTGAGGAGAACAGACGGGGAAGTGTGATTACTGTACTACATGGTGGGATTGCGGGTGAGATTTTTCTTTTTCATTTAAAAATTTCTGTTGTTAAAATGATGTACAATTTCAAAAAAAAAAATGGTTCTCCTAATTCAAAGAACAAAACAAAGCCAAAACAAGCAAAACAGTTTATTCTTTTTTTTCTTTTCTTTTTTAGAGTTTTTTGCCTTAGGGCACATGTGCTCACCAGAAAGAGAGAGACAGAGGCAGAAACAGTGGAGGGAATGTGAGGAATTACACCCCCTCCCAGGGTGGATGATCAGCCACAATCCCTTCTCCTCCTGTCTCCTACTGGGATCTTGGTTAAGCACCCACAAACGCACTCAC